AGCCCAGATACAAAAAATCATTTCAGAGCAGAGCAGAGTGTGTTCTGACATTTAAGAGCTTTTCGTTTTTCTTGATCCTTTTAAAAACGCACTTCAAAACAGCGTAGCTTGTCATGTAGAGGAATGAAAGCACTTCATTTAGAAACAGCAAAATGAAACATGCTGGTTGCTTCCACGCTCATTTTACCTTCTTTTTTTTCCGTCCTGTTTTAAACAATTTGGCAGAAATGACAGAGCTGAATGGCAATGAACCAAATTTTCATTTTTTGGTATAGAATGTTGTGACCATAAATGCTACTCACTTCTGTCTGAAATTATGTGTCTTTTCAGAAATATCACATGACAATGCTATTTTAGATGATCGTTAGATGGGTTAGAGATTTTATTTTTTATCTTCTTTAATGAAACATAGATATGTCGCGGAACTCAGAAGCCTTCAATCTCCTTTCTAAAGCATTGAACTTTAATACATGAAAGAGAAAGAAAAAAAGAAGAAAAAAGTAAATACAAATAAAAGATTTCAAGTGCCATGGAAGCTGTTGAGGACTGTCTCAATTGCTCAGTGTAGTGCTGTGTTGATGTTTCAAGTCAACGGGAGATAACAAAAGGTGCCAATTTTCTCTAGATCTGAGGTTTCCGCTTTCTTATCCCTACAATCATAAGGTAAGAAACATCAGAGAGAAAGGAGCAAGCTGGGTTTGCCAAGATTTTGATGAGCCCTGCCAGTGTTTGGCCTCAGCCATCCAACTGCATTCTCAGCTCAGAGCTCACTGTAATCCCTTTCATGGCATGAAAAGATCTTTGACCACGATCCATTGGAAGCCGTTTGCTCTCTAGTGATCTAGATGCAACCCCTGGATTCTGCAAGGTCTAAGCAAACTCTGTCCCAAGGGCCTCCAGCTCTGACACCTAACGACTGAACAGCTGTGCTCAAAACCACCCTGCGCTACCATGTGTCCTGTGATGCACCACCAAGTCCCGGATCTTTGCTATTTCTGGCCTCGAGGTGTAGTGCTTGAGTGAAACTATAATGATGGAAAGTCTGAACCTTGGTATATCTTGGTTCAATGGCACTGAAAGAAAATGAGCAAACAAACCAGTTGACTGCATGTAGGCTCTCTTGGGACTTCTTTCACTCTAAATCAGCATATACAATGTATTTTGCATCCAAAAAGTACTATCCCTTGTAAATAAGGGCTGTTGTATTGAAAACAATATTCCTGGTATGAGCACCAAATTAATTTTGAATTTTATTTCAAGTTTTAAAAAATCCATTTCAAATGAAACAGATCTGTGTGACCAAAAAGTGAGATTTGGTCTATATTTTAAGCAGAATAGTCTGGAGGGATCTAGGGTAAAGTAAAATAACTGAGTAGACTTCTCTTCTGCTCAAGATGATGAAAGACGTGCAAAATTATGTTGTCAAATTCAAATTATCCAAGATTAATTCAAAAGAATTCAAAAGCTGAAGCTCCCCAAGCCTGCCAGAAGTTAGACTACCTTGTCTAAATCAATTACTTCAGAATAACCGTCTGCTAATAGTCTATGCGCTGTAACGCAGCCTCTTGGAATCTTACTACTCCAGTGAGGGAAAAATGAAAATAAAAGCAAACAGAAGAAATCCCAGGGGACTGCAGCTTCAGGAGGCAAAAAATTGGTGCTTTTTGCTTGCCTGTCTCTTCCCAGTTTCCTGCCCCCTTCAGCGTATGAGAAAGACAAGAAGAGTTTGTGCACTTTGGAAACTCGATAGGAGGCAGCAGCTGATCTTCCCATCACCAGCCTAAAAATAATCCACTCCAGGGCTTGGAGCAGCTTCACTAAGTGGAGGAAAATCCTGCCATCGGGATGATATTGATCACATAGCACAACCGAGTGACAGTTTGGGTTGGTATTTTGTTTTTGTGTTTACAAAGGTAAGCTACAGAGTTTGCTCTAACATTCAGCAACCAAACGGGGCATGCGATGACCCTCCCCCATTATCTCCCACTAACCACCTCCTCCTCCTTCCCTTTATATCTGTGGGACAGGGCTGCTCCTTGTTCTTTCCTGGGATTACAACTCCAATCTCTTTTTTCTTTTCCTTTTCCATTTGCAGGCATTCTCAGCCTTTACCGTCCCCTCCTGCTGATGTTTTCTTTGCTGCTGTTCACAGGGTTACGTTTCTTTTTTTAAACTGTCCTGTCTTGGCATGTGAAGTCGAAGGTTTTACAGCAGGCAGTGTAGCACGCTGATGTTTGAAATCGCATTGTGTTAAGAAGCTTACCAAAACCGAAAAAAGCAATGTATTAGATGTGTGAGACCACTGCAGATGTTTGTGTGAAATGCTTTTCAGTGCCAATAGCCTGTTTAGCACCAGTGCTGTTGTGATTTTTCTCTGTGTTTGGAACCCGATCCAAAAACCTACTGAGGTCAATGAGATTCTTTGCATTGACTTCCAAACTTCAGTTTGGATCAGGCTGCTGGTATATGGCAGTTAGCGATGCGAATGCTGACAAGTATCAGAGGTAATTCATCACCTTAAGGCCCAAGATAACTGGGACAGTGCTTAGCAAGGAAGCAGGGTCTATCCAGAATAGGTGGTCACAGCTTAAATAGGAATGAAAAGGAAAATGGTATTTTGTACTGGGTCATTTTTTATAAAATAGATTGATTTTAAAGGGGCAGCACTTTTTGTCATTAACCTTAGCAGAACTCTTTGCAAATAATGCAGACACTATAGATCACATGCATCGCGTTAGGTGCGGTGCTTTTAGGAAGGTAAGAAGAACAAACTAGTAGATTTATACCTAGAAAGGAAAAAGATTCAGAGCACTAACCTAAAATCTGTGGCAAAACTCAGAGTTAGGCCTTCCATTGTGCTTATCTGAACCTATAAATTCATAATTTGTCCTTAGTTAAAATTTTCTCTGTGAAATTCAAGAAGGAAAGACAAATTCTTGCTTTTGTAATGACTTAATTAGTCAGAAGATAAGAAGTAACTACTTTTGTAAAAGTCTGAGTAGTTTCTCCATCCTGCATCTGTATGCATACACATATCTAAATATATATATGTGTGTATATATATACGTGTATATATGCATATAGGGGCATATAATGCACATTATATATAAGACAAAAAAAAGTCTAAACGGAGACCTGAGTGTGTTCTGCAAGGATATATTTTAATTAGGAAGTTCAGCTCTTAATTTATATATTTTTTTAAATATCGGCAACAGAACCACTGAAACAATGTTTTTCAGAATATTATTTCCCCCAAACAAGGTCCACTTGAGGAGTGTATTTATACTCTTTTCTGTATAGTCACGAGTATCTTGCAGAGCATGCCTAAAAGAGTGATGATCCAGGTAAGATGAAACTCTTGAATATGAAGGTTTTTAAGTCCACTTTAAAAGACCCTAAAGTAATTAAAATGTGTTTAACTAGAATTCTTACAGTTTTGCACTCAGTGAGGATGTTCTCATAGTTTTTATGGAAATTTAAATTATCCACTGTTTTCCCATTGTCTTCTTCACAATTGCTTATGGAAAATATATCTCAGGAACTGGCTTAGTGCCCTGAGAATCCCCATTTATGCTTGTTAAAATGAGATTTGTAAGTGTTTAGGTTCAATGCTACGTCATATTCATGTTTACAACTTTGCCCTATTTTTTTTCTTCCCAAAACATTTTTCTTCTTCACAGTGAATATTCCTGAATCTCTTTTGAACTGTTTTCTGTTTATTATATTATGACTATATCTGTACACCTTAGCCCAAAACCAGAAAGTATCAACTTGCCAGTGATGGGGATTTTAGCGTGAAAATTTAAATGCTTAAAGGACGTAAGTTTTTTCAGCTATTTCATTGCAGGGTGAACTGCTGTTCAGATAGTTCACATCCTCACTGAGGTAAACCAACAGGGAATCAGATTCCCAAATGATGTAAAGGAGAGCTGAAACTTGCCTTCCACTGGCACCATCATGGGCCCATCCTCCTGATTGTTCTTTCCATTGCCCTCTGTGAAGTTTTGCTTGTGGCTTTAGCTTGTAGCTGACGGCTCAGCAAAGGCCATTTTCAAAGGGAGAAAGAAAAACCGCCTCTGAAAATTTCTGACCAGTTCTAGAGTTTGTAAAGACTGTAGTTAAAGTGAGAAATTTGACAATAACTTTGAAGGACAAAGGCCTTCCAGCCTACAAGTGTTAAAACAAAAAATTGCCTGGTACTTGGCACCCCTATTGGGGTGCTGATGTAGCTGGTACCCTCGGATAGCGTGAGCTTGTTATCAGATAATCTTCATCACATCACTGCATTTCCCCTGACTGAAATGCTAGGTTAAACCTAGTATGCTTGGCAACATTATTATAAGGTATAACATTCCAAGTAGCAAAGCAAATATATTGTGATGTACTCACTTTGGTGTAATGACCCCAGCATAATTTGGTGGCCTATTATTTTCAACAGAAAGCGAAATTACCTCTGGGAAAGCCATTTTTTTGTGACTATGAATAACATTGTCTTCTTAAATGAATATATGAGGATCTCCACAGTTATTCTGAAAGGCTGCTACTGCCTGATGAGAAGCAGTGGTCAGTAACTTCAGATGACCAACAAATTTCAAAACAACTTGCTAACCTTTCATCTGTTCTCTCCTGAATATTCATGTTTGGGTTATGCATTTTATTGTTTTAATGTGGCAGTCAGACTGCTCCCATTTTTTGCAGACATGGCTGCTCACTAGACAGAGCCATCTGCCTGTAAAGAAGCCTTCAGTTCCAAAGATTCCAAGCTGAACATGAGCTTAGAGAAAAGGTCTTGGCAATCCATATGAGAAGAAGAGGCCTTTGCTTTCCAGTGACTATGCCTTCCTTTGGGACCCGTAGATAAAGATTTGCTGAGAAACTAGTGGACATATCTCTGCTGTTATGCCCTATGGCTCATGGGTCCTTGAGTTAGTCCTGCATGAGCCAACGTTGGAATAGAAGTATGGCAACTGCAACAACTCAGCACAGATGTCAAGCTTGCTGTGAGCAGGGCTTCTTATCGTGGGAACAGCACCATAGTGATTGAGACCATTAATTCTGAGGCTGAACTAATTATTTGTGTGACTTTCTGCTAGACTGTGTAGCCTACAGAGAAGCAGACAGCTGCCTACAGCAGCAGACTGCTGAGGATGATAAAACCATCTGGCTTTGCTGTTTAATTCACCTATGTGCAGTTCCAGGAAGCCCAGCTTTGTGCTGCTGCTGGTGTTACCAAGGAAGGGGTCTTGGCAGATGTAGGAGGGCAACTGCTGCTGTGGAATGTGATAACCTCTCTGAGTTGCAGCAATAATTGCTTTTATCTCTTCCATCCCTTGACAACAGAAGTCTCTTCAAATTTCTCCTCACGTGGCTCTGCAGCCCAGTTTTTACTCTTTGATCTCTCCCTGCGTACTTACTGTGGCCTAAAAAGTCTGTCTCCTCATCTTTGGTAAGGAGTACACCATAGGAAACCTTGAGTCAGATCTGTATTCTGACTTAGCTTGGGGCTAATTCAAAGATCTTCAGCGTGGCTGTTACAGGTTAGACTGTTGTTTGGTGTGGTCAGCATTCTGTCTTTGGCAATGATCAACAACTGGTACTCGGGGAAAAATATAAAAAGTCTTCAGTGCATTTAATTATGTACTTGCACAATGCTCAGCACTGAGCGAAACAAACACTTCCTTGCATAGGCAAGGTACCTCTATTCACCTCTCTACAGATCTAGTTCTGACTGAAGCCCAGCATTGGCTTACTAGAAGAGTTAAAGCAAATGGAAGAATAGTTCAATTATTACTAAGGGAACCAATTTTGGTCAGTGATCAGTCATAGAAGTGTTCCGTCTTCCTTTCTAAATCCAGCTGCAGTTTTTGATGACTTACAACAGTAAGCACAACTGCAATTCTTCATGTTTTTTCTAAATTTGCTGTTCTTACATTTCACGTTTTCATTTCATGAAATGAAATCTTATGGTTTTACAGAAGAGGAGGGAATAGTGCCTTTTCATTCTGCCTTTCATTGGCTGTGGGCAGTCAAGATCTTCCAAACTGTCTTCATCTCCAGGCTCAGTTTTTTCAGTGAAAATATTAAAAACTGGGACCCATTAAAAGTCAGTATAGCTAAGGGCTTTTAAAACTCTTTAAAATTTTCAGAATTTTTAAAGATCTCTCTAGCCTTAACTCCCAATACTGAACTACTGTTTGAAAATGCAACTGAAACTCTCAAATTAGTCTGAAGCTTTTGAACATGCTTCTTGCACTGTTTGCAGCCCTGAGAATGTGTTCATCTGCAGCCGCGGTAAACTTTGCAAGCATGGGGTCTGAGTGTAGGCACAAGAAATTTTGCCATTATATAATTAAATTTTCCTTTGAAGAAGACTGAAGGTTACACTGTTTCCTTGGATGAGCAATTGCATCTGGAAACATGTCATGGTGTTAACTTTGGTGGAGCTGCATGAGCATTGTTGTAAAATGCCCCATACTGTCTAGAGAAATCAAGGACTTGTTCTTCTGCCTTAGGGGCTTTTCTTTCTGTCCTTCTTTGGAAATGAACACAGCTTGTTAAACCTTGAGGCCAATGAAAATGAGCTTCTGGAGGCATGCCCTGGTGCAGCAGAAGGTAATGGCTAATTTCAGCTTCGAACCAAATGGGAGTCTCACTTGCATTGGCTATAAATGCAAAGCATTCTCCCTTACATGTCAGTTTAATTTTATCCAATATATTTCCCCTATCTGTGAAACTTAAGCAAAGAAGTAGAAACTACATGACATGCTTTATGCCTGGGGTGATGAGCCTGTGCATCTCCAGAGTCTCCTGTGTACTTAAGTTTTCCAAAAAAACAGAGCAAGGTCCAGTGGTTTGAGTCACATGGGCAAAAGCGTGGAGGGTGCATCAGATCTGCCTTCTGCACCAGAAATGGATGGGAAGGGAATGATGGAGTTGTTTCTTGCTCCATGTGAGGCACGCTGGAGATAAAATTATTTCTTAGAGCTCTAATGTACTGCAGTGTATTTTCATATGCCACTCTTGCAGATGCAGAGAACTACTAGCAGCCTGCTGTGTAAACACCAGAAAGTGTCTGTGAAAGTTGGCATACGTCAACAGATGCAGAACATGAGTCCTCCACTTCCAGTCATAGTTCATTTCTAGCACAGTGGTGATGGGCAAATCAATGGAAGAAAGGAAGGAAAGAAGTATTACTGGACTATTAATGCTTCTAGAGTTCTTATCTTTTCCATTCCCTATCAGTGCCATACTGTACTAGATGTGTGTCCTGAAATGGATGCTGCTAAAAAGGGAAGTTGTACCTGGTGAGTGTTTTATGAGGCCAAATTATAAGCTGCATTGGGTCAACATAGCATCATGACACTGATCAGAATGTTTTGAGAGATTTTAAGCCTGCGGAGGTTTAATGAACATGGTCACTGGGTGTGCTGCTCAATGACAAAGTGTTTTCTGATTTAAAAACTTGGGAATTTATTGTCAATTACCCTATCTCATATCATTGGCAATGCAATCTTTTTGATTTTCTGGGTTTTTTTTTTCCCAAACCAGCCAACCTAGGCTCTTCGATTGTCTCTCTCATTTTAAGAGAAGACAATAAAATTCTACCTCTTTTTCAAAATGAACCTGTAACAAAAGACTGCTTATACCTACTTTTGAAAATTATCATCAGTATGATGGGTGCTGTCTCTGTACATCAGTATTAATGATAGGACAGATTCTTCCCTCAGCCCTGCCAACGTGCAAAGGACAGTTGGTTGTAAGAGTGTGTTATTGGACATACTCCACCACAAAACGAGGCACAGCACAGATTCTTGTGAAGATGCAGATGTGATTCTTGAAAGATGCATCTTTCTTGAGAGCTTTTAGGGACTGTTGTTTGACGTGTAATATGAAACCTCTACAAACTGATGGTAGGTCCTAGCTAGCAGATAGCACTCTCCATGCAGTTAATAGTCCTTTCTTCCACAGGAACTTCTACTGCCTATGTTCCATTTCCCTTCCAGAAAAATGGAAAAAACCCAACAGTTCCCTTATCTTCTCTTGGACATTGTTTTAATAATTTCTCCCACATTTATTTTTGACTAGAAGCCAAAAGCTACACTGGAAGTCAATGATTCAGTGCTCATTTGAACCCAGAATCCTCCTGCCTTTCGGTACCAGTCCAACCACTAGACCACAATAGCATCTTTGTGGTCAGAGTCCTCTTTGTGGGAAAGGGAGGAAGATTCCCAGCAGAACTCCCTTGGGCTTCTGACCTTTGATAAAAATGAGGAAACAACACTCCTGATTTTCAAGAGATTATCATTACCATTATGTTTCTCTTAAAGGAGACATGCCAAGATTTTACAGATTAAAATCAAGCAATCTTTGTGTAGTTTTTTGAAAAGTTCTGTATTTGTTTTGCTAGTAACTCCTAAGCCCATTCAGACAGAATTTATATTATCATACTAGTTCTTTTGTGTTACTAGTCATATGCAATTATGAATGTATTTTTATATAAAAATAAAATGATAGAATGGTAGTGGTCACGTCACCCTATTCATTATAGAGAATGGGCCAAACTCTCCATCAAATTGTGTTCTCCTGAAGATTGAGTGGGTTGCCCATCAGTTTTTGCACCACAGTAAGTACATGCATGCATTTTTGCAGGATGCAGTCCACCATATGACTCTGAGTCATGCTTAACTTCTGGAAAATTTCAGACCATGTAGTGCTGATATGTTTGGAAAATGGACTGCATTTATCATATTCTTTTCAATGAAACTCCTTTACAGATTTCACTGATGTATTTCAGTATGGATTACGCTTTTCAGATCCAGCAAAAAGTTAGTTAAAAGCAAAAAGGGGATTTAGGAGAGGTTCAAAGTGCCTGTATTCTTTTGAAGATCTATATGTTTCTGTTCTCTCTAAGGGAGTACTTCAGTAGTTTATGCTTACCTTATTATGCTTACCTTGTTTAAACAACTAGGCTCATAAAACTAATCTGAAGTATCTGAGGAAAGAAGGAAAGCATTTCTCTCTGCATTCAAGTAACTTTTTTTAAACTATGTTCATGTGTTTTTTGCATGTCTATATTGTTCTGATTCCACAAAACTCATTAATGCTAATGTTGTTGCAGAAAGAGGCATTCACCAAAGTATACATATACTTTGCCCAATTAAAGATGTTCCTTCCATTTTAGTATGTAAAATTTGGAAAAAAAGATGTGAGCAAATGAGTTTACACAACCTATTCTATGGCACTATGTTGCTGGGTATAAGTCTCAGGCAAAGAAACCGGCAAGGAAACATTTTGGTTTCAATCTTGTTTCATCTTTTTATAAAGAAGAATGAATAAATAAACGATGCACAGGCTGATAAAAGCCAGAAGCTGGCTATCACTTTGGGTCATGCTATGGCCCATACTCTGCAAGCACGAATGCATAAGCTTATCTTGGTGTACAAAGATAATCTCATAAGAAATCATGGAAGTCAGAGAACTGCTTAGATGAGGCTAAGCACGTGCATAAGGATTTGCAGGATCAAGCATAAATGCTGATTTACTGCCTATGCAATCTTCAGTACAACCTACTTTGATTAAGAGTTTGGCAATTATGTGTAATGACTAGTGTATGTGACCATTGTTGTTCGATGGGACAATGAAGAAATACAAAATATCAGTGAATGCAAAGCTGCCAGATCACAAATATCAAAGGTTCAGAGCTTGCACTGAAAATGTAGTGCAACAAATCATATGAACAGAGATGTTGCACAGGGAATGTCGGCTCCTCAAAGAAGCAGTAACACAGGGGAGTCAGCTTATGTGCATTTGAGTGTTCTTATGAGAAATGGAAATAATTTTTTTTCAAAACTTTCTTGTTCTTTATATTCTCATGGAGCATTTGCAGCATAACATGCATATAATGAACACTAGAAGACATAGCATAGTGTATTTAATAAACAGTACTTACAATAAATAGTACAGTTAATATAAACACAACCTTTATTCTAATGTGCATTTATACTTGACAGAGCCCAAAAGAATTTTCAACGCACAACTGAATTATTCTTCATAGGTTGTTCAGTGTGCTCCTTTCTGTATCTCTTTATTTTATTTATTTTGTGTTTAGCTAAAGAGAATGCTAGCAATCTTGGCAATCAACTATTCTCTCTTTTTTGTAGGAATCAGGTCTTCTGGAAGCGATGAGGCTCGCATTTTGTGGTAACGACAATGCTTCAGCCTATAACATCAGTGCTGGTGTCCTAAGAAATGTCTGCTTTGTGGATGCCCTCAACTTGGTTCCCCATGTCTTCTTGCTATTTATCACCTTCCCAATTTTGTTCATTGGTGAGTTGTTCAATCTTGCTGTGCAATCCTACAAACACTTGAGCATGTATTTATACTCAGTCATGTTTATATGTGCTTGGAGGCCTGTGGCGTGAACAGTTGGATGCTTTGTATTTATTAATTTTAAAAAAGAAGAGACAGAATGGCTTGACCCAGAGGACGTGAAGCCAACCCGCTTGAAATGTTGGGAATTTTAGATATAAATCTGAACTAAGCAGCATGAAAAGATGGATGAGAACCAGAGAAATGAGATCCAAATGCTTTGAAACTTTTCTCTGGAGAAGTTTTCTTCAGATTTGAAATTGGCAACTTGCAACCTTTGCTATTATTAGGTATTAGAAGACTCAGGACAGTGGGTCTGAATTCCCTTTGAGTCATGTGAATTTCAGAGAATATCCAAAATGTGCAACTTGGATCTAAGGCTAGGAGAAGTGTAGGAAACTTTTAAAGCAGAATAATTACTTCTTTTGCCAACATTTGTAAACAGAAGTAGAGCAAAAGAGATAATTTTTTTTCCACAGGAATGAAAATAAGAAGTGATAAATCTCTCTTGAAGAATTTAGGACAGTGGAGTGGCTCTAACTTACGTATTCTTGTAAAAAGCCCCATCTAAACTAGTACTCTAATGATACCTTTTCTCTATAGTTGTCTCTTTGTCTCAGTTCTTTGCAGTGATTAAATAAATACAATTTAATGCTTTTTCAGAGCTGTCAAACACTTGAATAACTGTCAAAAGGCAGAAAGTATTAATAAAAATAAATATTCTCCTGACAACCACATGAGAAATGGCATGTCAATTCTTCCCTGTTACCTTCCTGGTGTCACGTATATAGATAGTAATACATTTCTTCCACGAGGAAGTTTTGAATTTGGGACTATATTCGAACTAGAGATTTAAGGACTTCCATTATGGAAAAAGATTCTGAAATGATTGAATAATAGGCTACAGGAACCTGTGGGCTATGACACTCAGTACCTAGCAATCAAAGGTATAACAAGATCCAGTGACTGAAAACTAATTAAATAATTAAGCAAGGGAATAAGAAACAAGTTTTAACAAAAGAATAACTAAAGACTGGAAAAAAACCCAAGGGTTATGGAGAACTCTGTCCAACGGTGCTGGGTCTTTACGTCAGTGCTGGCTCTTTCTTTGAGATGAGATGCCAGTCATCCTTGAATTACAGGGCTTTCTGCAGAAGTGTTTGATGGAAACTCAATGCAAGGTGTGAGGGCAGAGATAATCTTTTACGACATTCTCTGTTATGCAGAGGTAGTGGTAGCAGGCTGCTTTAATATTTTTACAGGTATTAGCCAATTAATTTTGGAATGGTATTGCAGCCACTGAAAATTCCCTCTATTTTCTAACAATTTAAGGAAAAACACATAATAGCTTAAATTTTATGTTATGTATGTACGTATGTAATTCTTTTTTCTATTTTATACCGTGATTATCAGGACAGATAGTTTTTGAACAGAGCATTAAAAGCCAAGTGGAGTCCACAGTATTGACTGACTCCAAAACTGAAAATTGATGATGAACTGTGTTTGTGCAGATGTATGGGCACAGAGGAAATAAAATGAAAAGCAGCTTGGGAGAGACGAAGATAGGAGCAAGGTCAAAGAAAGCAATATTAGATTAGGAAGATCTCAGGAAACTATTGAAAATGATTGAGATAGATATGGAGAAGAGACAACATTTTGTTTCTGCAGTACTTTACATATTAAACAAGGATGGAATGGTGAAATCCTGACAGTTTCCAAGAATTAATAAACCTGGGCTCTGGTTTATGTGTTTCAGAGTCACCTGATGAGGCTGTAGGCATGATGAGATGCTGCATCCTTGTGTATCAAAAGCATATCATGGGTTTTAAACTCAGTTCTGCAGTTACTGAAAGTAACAGATGCAACGCCCACTGCCCTAGTTAAACAATTCTGGTTTTGTTTTTGTTTTCTTCTGTTTTGTTTCTTTACTTCTCCGAAATGTCCTGTTCTTAGGATTCTCTGTGGGCTTTGGGAAGTGTCTGTCAGGGAATTCCAGGAGTTGCCTTGAAGTAAGATGGACATGTACGGTCATTTGGGCTGACTGACTCATGACGGCCCTGTACCAGGGTGGGAAGGGACAGGGGACAAAGCAACATGCAGGAGAAGCCCCGCCACCATGAGAGGCTGACCTGTGATCGGTCTTCAGCTCCCCCCAGCACTGTCACGGCCGTCAGGTCCTTGGTGTCCCCCTTCTTGCCAACTTGCTGGCTTCAGAGGGGATCTTGCCTGAAAAGGATAGGTGCCATCTGAAGTGACGTCATGAAAATGGGCTTCAAGATTAATTTGTTGATTAAATCAGCTGAGTCCTGGTGCTGTGCTGGAAGCTTTAATGTGCCAGGAATGCACAGGGAAAGGAGGCTGGGCTGTGCCTGAGGAGCAGAGACTGGGAAATCACCATTCAGCATCCCCTGAGACAGCACTCCCAACCAGGCCTGAGGCAGAGATAATAAATGTTATTTTTTTGAAGTAAATATATCTCTTTGAGGCCTCATTGGAGAATGCAACTTTTATATCAGTTGGAAAAGTTGCCGGCTCTTGTCTGTGACTGGGAAAGACACAATGATGCAATCACTTAAGATCTGTCAGTCCCTGTTGTGCGAGGGTGAGAGTGGGATGTTTCTTCTGGTTTTGTCATCTTTGTTCTGGCCAGGGACCTCATCTCTTTGATTGCAGTTGTGGGAAGTCTGTTGTCATGTTGTCTAGAGGGTCAGATCTAAATTACGGGGGACTACATGGCAACTCAAACGCTCCTGAGTCATGTTATTGCTAACAACAGCCTCCATAGTCTTATAGGGGTTTTGTGTTGATTATATACTATTAAGTGTGACCTATGGATTAGAATAGGGAATTGATAACCAGATCACTCCCTAGCTGGCTGTGTGATAACCTTCTTCTTTCATTACTATTATTTCCTAGGCTGGGGAAGCCAAAGCTCCAAAGTTCAGATTCACCACAATACCTGGCTGCACTTCCCTGGACACAACCTGCGGTGGATCCTGACATTCACCCTCCTGTTTGTACATGTGTGTGAAATAGCAGAGGGCATAGTTTCCGATACGTAAGTGATGGTGTTTGGTGGATAGCCAAGCTAATTGCATTCAGTAATGTATATTGATAATGTGTGATGGGATGGCTAGTAAGGTGCAAGGAGTTTTTCCCAAAAAAAAATGGAGCATCATTTCATGAACTGTCCAGATTTTAATGGGACGAAGACGAAATGATTGTTCTTAGCACATCATTATTCTCCTCTCAAACTATAACGATGAGTAAATATTGACAGAAGTTAAAGCATTCACAAGGAAAAAATCTTTTTGTCTCCAGGAAAGTTGTATTTGTCTTCTTAAATAGATTAGCAGAACACCTAGGAATATAGCAATGGTGAGAAAAGACACTAAATTCACTAATTTATACCTTATTTATTTTCAGACAAATGAAATCTCGCCATCTTCATCTCTTTCTACCAGCTATAATGGGATTTGTGGCTGCCACTGTATCCATAGTCTATTACCATAATATTGAAACATCTAACTTTCCAAAGTTACTGTTGGGTAAGTCTAAGTCTGATATTTATGTACTCTTACAAACCCGGTAGATTAGCTAGAGTCAGCTTGCTTAGATTGATGAGAGGAATAATTCTCTGCTTTTTTAACTAGTATTATTGTAGGAGTTATTACACCTTTTATAAGGTACACACTGAAAACTATTTTTAAAAATTGTCACAAAAGGAAAAGCATGAGCTTTTAAGTATTTCTAACACCACTCATTATTTTGAGAAAAAACCTGTCTTCATTCAAAAGAGCTATTTTAAAAGGCCACTTTTAGTAGTAATCAGATCACAGACCATGCTGTTCAGATGGCTGTTGTTTCTCAGCATCCATTGCAGTTGATTCTGAGATTACCCAGTCTAATGATGAATGCCACCTCTCACTTTTTCCAAAGTGGGGAGGGGGAGAAATTTTACCTTTGAGAAACTGCTACCTGGTATTCACGATATCTGTCTCAGCCAGGAGATGGTCAGAAGAATTTGACTGGACATTGCAGGATGTTTCATAGAAGTGTATGGTCCAAGTTACCTATAACTCAACAACCTGAACTAGCCATTGACAAACCAGGATGCAGGATATAATTAAATTATATGAAGTCTTTTTCAGAATGAGCTTCCATGCAATGCACTCTGCTTTTTCACAGAGGCAGTATGGTATTTGTCAAGTTAAGTGACTTTTAATTCATTTCAATAACAAAGTTACCCTTCAGACTATCTTGAACAGACTTTTGTAATTGTGTGAAGACCCACCATTGTGGATGTCTTTGAAATGTGGTGGCCCAGGAAAGAAAATAGTGACCTGGGAAAAGAAAGCGCAAAGTAAATCTCTCAAAACCGAGTTCCTGGCTTGGGCTGACATCACACTGTGCCAGCCTGCAGGCTGGTGATATAGAGGATAACCATGCTTGCATTGCACTAAGCCATGGAATATTTCTGTTTGAGAGAGCTAAAACTTATGCAGCACTCGTATAGCTTTTTTTTTTTTTTTTAAATTATGCATGTGCACTTGTTTTACAGCTCTCTTTCTTTACTGGATAATGGCCTTTGTCACCAAAACGATCAAGCTTGTCAGATACTGCCAGGATGGTGTGCCTTTTTCTCAGCTGCGTTTCTGCATCACTGGAATTATGGTCATTCTCTATGGGCTGCTGATGGCTGTGGAGATCAATGTCATTCGGGTTAGGGTATGTGGTTTCTTTATCAGGATCCGAAAATATATCAGCAGTGTCTCAGGCATGAAGATGGGTCTTTAGTCCCAGTAACTCTGGCTTGTGTCAAGTTTAGGCCCAAGTTTAGCTTAGCCGTAAAAGTCTGGTTAATTCTATAGAAATCAATGGGACCTGGCATTTCTTTAAAATATATGTCCTTGGTGTGTCCCCTGGACTTGGTATGTATGTGTGCCTGTGTATACGTATACACACAGAGAGTTCATACATATTTGTACAGATAGATATACATGCATATTTGTGCATGTTAAGGGTATATGTGTGTGTATGTAATCTATACAGTATATGCTATGTTAATGCAGAAAATCTATATATCTAGTGTATGTATAAGTTAGCATACATTCTTACCCATGATAATTTAAAATATAATTATATTCGAGGAATTCTTTTTTGTTGTTGTTCAGATAGAGATAGGTAGTATTGGTAGGCTACAGAGATGTGCCCACATCCCATATTGCTCAATTTCTTGCCAGTTATGCTGTCAAAACGGAAATGCTCCTATTTACATGAAAATTTGCATTTAACTTCAATGTATAATTACCTTTAAATGCAAATTTGACATTGTAGTTGTATTATGCACAATTTTTACTAAAAATTGCTGTTAGTAAGATAATTCCTGAGCACATGCTGTCTATTTTCTCCTCTCCAGAGGTATGTATTTTTCATGAACCCTCAGAAAGTAAAGCCACCAGAGGACCTCCAGGACCTGGGGGTGAGGTTTCTGCAGCCATTTGTCAATTTGCTCTCAAAGGCAACTTATTGGTGGATGAATACTCTTATTATATCTGCTCACAAGAAACCTGTGGACCTGAAGGCAATCGGAAAGCTTCCAATTGCAATGAGAGCACTGACAAATTATGTTTGTCTCAAAGAAGCGTATGAGGAGCAAAAGGTAACTAAAGATGTTCATGTCACTATTTGGCCTAAGAAACTATAGTGTCACTTCGGATTTTTTGTGCTTCTATGAAACCCTAGTTTTAGGATTTTTTAACTTAGGACTGTTTGTTCCAAGGTGAAGCTTGGCTTAGGAAGTTCCAATGCAATGGTTACTGTTTGGTTTAAAGTGAATTTACAGCAGGGGAGAGTTGCCAGATTGAGAGCAACTGACTGTAGCAGACTGATCACTTGCTAGATTTCATTTTAAAAGTGAAAGCTTTGTTTAAATTTTAGCTACTTATGACAGCATCTTAAATTAGAAGACATACTGTCCATATTTTCAGCTGGAAACACTCATCTTCACTTTTTTATCCAGAAAGAGAAATAGCCAAAACACACATCAAGAATAGCCAAAACACTGGTGTCTTGTCAACGCATTTTAGTCATCAATCCAAAACACAGCACCATATGGGCTGCTATGAAGAAAATTAACTCCATCCCAGCCAGACCCGGTACAAAAGTCATGGTGGGGCAAACTCACTGGGTAGGCCAGGAGTTTCCAGAGAAACTTCCGGATGCATTTAGGCAAACCTGTGACATTTCATTTGTGCTTAAAGCTGGTGATTTCTGCCCGAAAAAGAAATATTTTGTTTTGCAGAAAGGAGGGAGGATTCGAGAGCCTGCCTCCCTGATTTGTGCATACATATCAATTCTCAAGCATAAACAGAGAAAATACAGGCATTCAGAGGCCACTTTGGAAAATGTAGCATGTAGGACAAAAGCATATAAATCCTGTTCCTGCACACACCAGCTAAACGTGTTTCCAAGCAGTGCGTGGTTTGGAATTGCCAATGCAAGGGGAAGCTGGGAGGAGCAGCTCCATCTGCTCCCAGCAACTGATGGAGCTGCAGACTCCTTTCTGTGCCCTCTGAAATGAAACCATAGTCAGTAGAATTGTTTCTATTTTAATACATTTAGGTTGCTTCTTTTTCCTTTTGTAGTCTATGGTTACAGTACTAGAGACCGAGAACCTTCTGCTTTAAGCAGAAAACTACTGAGTCATTGAAACTGAGCTTTTCACAGCAAAGTGCATCCCTTAGGCCAGCTCCTTAAAGAAGCAGTTGGTGCCTAAATCTTACTAAACAGACCAAAGAGTCTTAGGCACTTACATGCCTTGAGGATCTGAGTCTTTGTGCCATTCTTAATGACAGGCATGATGACTGGGTGCAAGCATTTGTCTGTAGCTCATTTACATCTGCAGATACTGTGTGTGCCTGCAAAAATATGCAGTTCAGATGCCAAAAGGCAAGTTAAGAGTGCTATTGCTCATGTGCATGAACACAAACATTCAGTGTGTAGCTTCCCTCGGTGTGCGTCATGCATGTATCAAGAATTGCATAAATATACCCAAGCAGTTACATGCACCTACATTTATAAAGCTGGCTTACATCAGATTTTTTGGTTTCCGTAATTGTTTAAAGTCTCGAGATTGCCACAGACTCTAGCACATTTGTGCTAATATTTGAAAACAGGCCGTAACCCTAAAGTAAACTGATACTTCATAGATAAAGTTAAAGTAAACCAAAGGGCTAAAACCAATCCAAAGAGCCAGGCAGTGGAACTCACTGCAGTTCACTCCCACAGAGAAATGTGTTGGTTTGTGCATGGTTGGGCCAGAAAACAGCCACAGAATTAGGAAAATTCTTCAGGTTGAAGCATGGTCTGCAATCTGGAAGAGATGATATGTCAGTGTCTCTTTTGCCAGGGTGTATTTTACACTAATCTTCCACAGCTGGTGAGGGGAGCTCCCCAGCATCCTCTGGATTAAGTGGGGTTACCCCTGCCTGTGCCTGGAGATAGCTGATCTCAGCAGTGCTCCATGGCCCTGCAGAAAGAAGGCTTCTGTTCCTTTCCAAACCCTTCTTATCACGCCTTGATGAAAGATGCTGAACATGACCATGGATATTCTGTATTGTGAAATGCCTTTGAGATAGCTCACATGACATTGTCTTGCTGTCCCTTCTGCATGCTATGAAAACTGAAACCAGCTGAGGTTCTCTACCAAATAATAGCACAAGGGAAATGAGTCAGGTTAAATTCTGATTACTGTTTTCTCAAGTTCATTGTTTTCCAAACCTGTGTCCAAGCATACAGGAGTGTAAATTAGAGGGTCTGAAATTAACTTTTTATGGCTGATATATTCTGCTAAAATAGCATATTGCTACTTGAGTAACCATGAAGTCTGTAAACACTGAGTGGAACCTTTTCTTGTTTTATTTGATGTCAGTGGACAACTCCTGAAATCCATATTCAGCTATTTAGACAGAATTCTTCTGGCTCCTGCCATATGAAGGTTTGCCCGCTGGCACATGAGAGCTAAGCTAACACTTCTCGGTGACAAATCTGAATTCATTATTCTGCTCTGTGCTTTTTTACATTTTCAAATTTTCGTCAAGCAGTTCTTAGCATTATGAATACACTCACTACTTAAAATTCTTTAGTTATAAGTAATTTTTTCAAAGCATCAAGTAATTTAATTTTAATATCACTTTTATGCTACATGGTATTTTATAGGCTTTTAAAGCCAGTTATCAGTAATTTTATTGTAATATTAAGTAATATAAACCAACACAATACAAGGCTAAATAACTAGTGATCAACATTGTAATTGGCTATTAGTCTGGTAGTTGCTACTGCAAAACGCATTCCAACTCGTACAATAAGATACAGGTCATTTGTTACTGGTTTTGTAGATAGTTTGTGTTGGGCAACATAGCATAACACAGCATATCATATGAAAACAACATAGCATACATTCTTTCAGTTAGAAGATACTATAAAACTACAGGTAAAACAAGCTCTTTTGATAATTAAGCTTACTTAAATATGCTGTCTGAGCTTTTTCCTAAACAAAGTGTTGCCAAGAAACCACACTACAATTGGCTTTCCTTATCTCATTATTGCCTGATATCGGTAAATATTCTAAAAGCTGGACATGCTGTATTTTCTTGCTTTTCTGGAGAATCTCCTATAGAAACAGAAATACCTCATCTTGCAGTACTTTTATCATACCTTTCTAAGAATCCTGGAGAAATTCTAACTGTGGATAGGAAGGTTGCTTCTGCAGAATAACCAGTGATGCACATCATACACATAGGGTTAGACTCATGACCTTAAATTCATATATTCTCTTTAATACACGTTCACAATTCCTACTATATTAATGGACATTTTGGCTGAAGATAAAGAATTCTTTAGTAAGATTAAGAAGATTATTAAGTCCTTAATTATATGCAATGAAACTCTGACAGCCAGATTTGTGGACCAATGTACTATATATATGTGGGTAGTACTTGTCACGTCATCCCCGCAAAAAAATCGGATCCTGTTTCTGTTGTTGCTTGGCTTTTGTTTTGGTTTCTGTACAAGTGTTCTAGATATTTCAAACCACATACTAATGCATCATTCATCACGTATCCCAAAATAGATTTAGCACGTTGATATTACATTTGGTTTACCCCATCAACCAAAATCCCGTGTAATTCGCTCTGACAGTCAATAGAAAGTTTTACTTTTGGGATGGTGTAATAGAAAATGCAATTGTTAAAGTCAAGGACCAGGAGAATTTCCTATACCTGCTATTCATGTGCCACTGTGGATCTTACCTGTTACGGCAAAAAGAGGAGGAAAGAAAGTGTGTTAGATAGCTGGGAATCACAGGGACAGAGCATTGCCCTTCAGCATCAGGCTGACACTGTCAGCTACAGCACTAAGGGAGCAGTCAGATCTCTGTATTGATTGAGGTGTACCTTACAGGTGGCTTGATTTACCAGCAAGTGCTGTCTCACTGCCCTTACTTCAACTGTTGAGTGCCCAAGGTAGACAAAATTACAGTGATTTAAAAGGGAGGTGACAAAGACAAGAAAAGCCTAGGCAAGTGCCACAGGTGAGTACAGTGGTCCAGCCTGGTAATTCACACAATAACAAGTGCTACCAACCATACCAACAAAAATAATCCTTGCAAATTTAAACAAGGCACCAAGATGCATAGTTGTGTAAACCGATCCAGCTCACATTTGTGTTTCTGCAACCCTTCCCTGTCTTTAATACAGCTCCCCTCCTTTTCTGTAACTGGATCATTTTTTAACATTATGTTTTAAGACTCTTTTTCTCATCTTCCAAAAGGAAAGTATGTCTTTCCATCCTGTGCCCAGGAGGAGAGGCTCTTGGCTTCAGGTGGCTTCCCAAGCCACAGAGGCTTAAAGGGACTGGGGAACTGCAAAAAATTATCATCATGGTGATGACATTTTTCTGATGCAGAAGCCCAGGCAGAGCTTTTTATTTAATTCTTATAACAATGGCCAAACTTTCAATTGTGGATTTACTGAAAGATGTCAGTGGTCGTCAGAGAGCTATGATTGACAGATCATCCTTCAGCATCTAAATAAAGGATAGCGTTGGCACATACAACATACTATACTGCAAGCCCATAACATTGGGCCTCAAGAGCCATTCTGGAAAAGACCTTAAGAATAGAAGAAAAATCCACTCTTCTTTCTCCCCCCTCCTGATTAGATACTTCAGCTAATTTGAAGTCCCGATTAAAAAAGAGGAAACAACAGTGTCTAGCAATAGAGATTATTAGGTAATTTAACTTAATTTAATTAATATTTTTCCAATGAAAAGTAAATAGATTTCATGTAGTGATGACAATTACATGAATTGTAGTAGTAGTGAACTACTACTTTAGGCAACAAATTCAGAACATTTTGTCTGGGAAACTCACACGAGGCCCTTGTGCTTTTTCCCTCATCAGAAGAAGCAGTTTCATGCTTACCACTTTCTGAAATGTTAGCTCTAATTTGTCCCCATGCTGCTTATTTCTCTGTATTAAGCTTCTTGGCATTGGGCATGACCAGCCTGGCCTAATCTCTAGAAGCCAGTAAGCAGCTATCTGGCCCTCCTGTGCACTTGTACATTTTTGGCACCATGCACATATTCTATCTCACTGTTGAAGTGGCATAAAAGGAAAAAATGAGAAAAGAGGAAAAAAGACATGAGGCAGACAGGCAGGGTACAGGCATATTTGCTTTGCTTTGGTTAATTTGCTGGGGCAGGGGGTGTTATTACTGGGCTATACTTAAAATGTCTCTGCAAACACTCAAGAGGCCTTGGCTTGGGTTACAACTTGCAGGCATCTGTGCTACTTGAAAAATGACAGATGCTTTTTTAAAGTGTCAAAAGCTGCTGCCTGAAGCACAAGGAAGCACTCTGCAGACCGTGGATCTGTTAAGTAAAACTCTTTCTTCTTTAGATTGAAAGGACCTCAGAAATATCAGAACTCCTCTGACTAGATATGGAGATATCTGCTGGTTGGTGTTTTAGGGCAAGATACTGCATAGATGCACAGAACTGAAGGCTAGAAAGGACCCTTGGTTGATTTAATCTTACTTCTCAACATAGCCTGTTATTCTCACCTTTTTGAGCCCAGTAATTAGTGATCAGATGAAGTGTACCTTGCTGGAAAGCATCCAAGACACAGAAAAAATCCAGATAAATTAAGTTAAACTATATTCTTGTAGGTGTCTGTCCATGTTTTTTCCTTCAATCTCTTTCTCACATCAGAAGCCTTTACTGGATCAAGTGGTTTCACAGCTACTGTGAAAGTCAAGATAACTCATATGAGCAAGGGCTTGAAAGGTCAGACCTTTTCCTGAGCGCACACGTGACAAGGAGCAATGGCTACGTGCCAGTACGATTATCTGTGTTTGCATTCCTATGTTCACAGGTTCAGAAAAGTGTTAGGATTTAGAGGCGAGGAACCACCGTTACCAAGAGGAGGCAGAATTTGAATTTGTTGTGAACACTGCAATCTGTTGATATCTGCAGCATGTTTGATACCTCATCTACTCTAAAACACCCTTCAGGAGCCATTTGGGCATCCAGACAGGAACGAAATGGAAGTTGCTGTATACAGCCAGGGAGGCCTCTTCTTGGTGCATTGATACCCATTTCTCTGTTTTCCAGAAAAAGGTAGCAGACCAGCCTAATCGGAGTCCCTCCATATGGTTAGCCATGTACAGTGCTTTTGGACGACCAATTCTTCTGAGCAGCACGTTCCGTTACTTGGCTGACTTGCTGGGTTTTGCTGGGCCGTTATGCATTTCTGGCATTGTCCAGGGCTTCCAGAATACGACCAATAATACAAATACAACAGAAAAGGTAACCTGACAACATGGATTGAAAAACTTTGGTATTAGTTTTAGATTCATATCAGGTATTTAATACATCTGGCTGCATGCTTTTATATATCTGTGATCAGCATTGTGTTATTTCATTGTTTCTTTCAAGCAAATTGAGGGTTTTTTTCTGAGAGACGGCCAAGTTATAAACCTGAGTAGTGGAAGTTTTTTGGTGTGAATGCAACACAGGTAGTGCAGGCATTCCCCAGTTGCCCAGCTGTCTGCCTCTTGGTGAAGTCATCCCTGCTGTTCTGGGGAGAAGGACCAGCTTTTCTCCTCCTCTTCAACTGTGTCTCCTCGTTTCAGGCAGAACACCCACTGGTGGTGCCTCAGTGAAGCATCCAGCAAGGATGAGTCTGGGAATTTTGCTTAATTTCTGTCTATCTGTCCATTTGTAGTTCGTTGACAGGTTTGAGCTCTCTGAAATCTGTTTTCCATTGGGAAGCCAAGAGTAGTCACCCCCTGTTATTACACTGCTTTTTGCTGTGATTAAATGCATTGGCACATGTGAGAAGTTGAAAAGCATCTACTTTATTCAATGGCATTCTTGATACTAGAGATGCACAAAAGATGCTAGTTCACAGCTCATTTCAAGTTTCACCGAGACTGAACTTTCAGAGACCACCTCTAAGCACTGAGCAAGCCTCTGATACAGAACATTTTCTATCATAAGAAAAAGAATTTATTAGTAACTGATGAAAAGATACAGGTAAAATTATTTTACTAGCTGACAGCAGAGAAGACATGATGAAGAAATTTTCCTATGTGTATCTTCTGATACAGAAACATCTCCATACATTTTATGCAGTGAGTGTTCGGTATTTGAATGAGCAGATAGGTATGTAATGGAATAACATTTTCCCTTCCAGATAAAGCATTTGACTATCATCGCTATCCAAACATCTCCTTGGCTGCTCACTCCTGACATTCATTTTCTTGACTGATGGTCTGAATTTGGCTTTAGACTCTCATTCAGCCATTGCACTGAAGAAGGAGAGTTTAATTGTGCAGCTTATCAAATAAAGCTCTTTATCATCCTTGAACCTCTACATGTTGGATTTGAGCCACAGAGTTAAAAGGCAAAGTGCATATTTTGCCTCAGAAATGGGGGTTTTTTGTATGTTGAACAAACAAGGTATTTTAGCTTGAAAATGATCATTTCTAGATCTCAAATTTAGGAATCTGTACCTTGTCTGCTTCATTTATCTTTTGTACTCTTCAGTGTAGTGGTTTTAGTTGTGGGGATTTTTAAGTTTTAATCAACACTGGCTGAAGGGAAGATTAAAATAATTGGAGAACTTGAAACCACTCCAAGAGCCTGGCTTGGTGACAGTCACTATTTGTCTTGGATATATTTCAGAATACATTTGCTTGTAATTTGTGGGTTTTGATAAACTTTCTCTTGGTTGTTCTTGTTATGTGTTTCTCCTTTAATTTCTCTCTAGTTTCAATTAATGTGAATTAATTTAATTTTATGCTTGTTCCACCTTAATTCCTGAGAACTCTGTGTACATTCATAAAGGTATCTACAACTGTTATTTTATTATTGATATCCCCACTATGTAAACGTGGGGAAGTTAGATGCAGCAGAACGTTAAGATGAGAGTTTTCAAATATATTTATCTGACCAATCGTGCGCTTAAGCAACCCTTGTTTCAAAGAGTCTTGGGCTGGTTGAGCGATTTAGTGGGATTTAGGTGTTTTACAGAGATTGGACCTTTTGAAAATACTGTTAGGTGCTTATAGACACTTTTGGGTGTCAGCTGCCTGTGGCAGAGGGATGAGTATATGGTGTGGAGAGGCTGGGGTCACTGCAGTGAGGTGAGCCTGGATGGCTCGGAGCACCTCTCTCCTGCCTGCAGTCTCATGGCGGATGACAGTAATCCAGAGTGATGAAGGAATCTTCAAGAGGGTAGGTACGTGGCTTACTTTACAATATTTCCCAAACTTCTAATCTCAGAATCAGGCTGGGTTTTTCAGTAGAACAGGCTTTCTTCCTTCTTCTGTTTTTTTTTTTTTTCTTTTTTTGTAAGAATTTCAGTACATCCTGCTTCCAGCTGGATCGGAAATACCAAAGCAACAGCCTTCCTTGCAGTATTTTGGTACATTTGTTTCCTTTTCTGCCTGAAACAGAGCAGCACAGTGAACATAAAAACTAGAAAATGGAAACAAATAAAGTGATTTAAACAAGATTTCTTTTTTCCCCTGTTGAGGCATTTAAACCTCATTTTGTGGGAGATACTGGCATATATATTCTTATTTTATTCAGAATTCATAGGTATCATAGACTATATTTCTGGAAGGAATTGTTTCCATAATGTACAAATGCGACATAAGTAACTAATCCCATATAACAAAAAATATTTTCTTGCAGCTTCTTTGTGGTGCAAGTGGAATGAGCTTTATTTTCAACTGAGTAGCATTTCTATGATATAAATCACCAGAATTCAATGGAGAAACTAAAACTAAGGCAAACATGGTGATCTCATTGTCGCTTTCCTGCTAAAAACAATTCATTTTAGAACTGGTAGAAGTTAAGATCCTAAGTCTTTGGAACATGAGCAGAATATTTAATTTGTATCCAAATGATTTTGATACATAAGTCAGTGAGAAATCTGATTTCCATAACTTTCCCATAATACCATCAATATTTTTTATTCTAATGCAATGACTGAATTTCTTTGTTTCCAGTGTCTCAAGAATATACAATCCCTCCTATGCCACTTTCATAATTTTTTCCTTTCTTTTCAGGTGAGGGATCCATCAAATTCATATCTTTCCTCAGAGGAATTCCTCAGGAATGTTTATGTTTTGGCAGTTCTTCTCTTCCTGGCCCTTATTTTGCAGAGGACATTCCTGCAGGCATCATACTATGTGACTACAGAAACTGGCATTAACCTACGAGGTGCTTTATTGGTGAGCAAGGTTATTCCCATGATCTGCCAAGAGGTTCACTAATAGCTCCAACTTCATACTTTCATTTGTCTTGTTCTTTATCTGAAGACTCAGTTAACGATTGTTTGAGAGAAGATATGCACTGTATTTTTGTACAGAAAACTGGAAAAAGTAGTATCACTGACAGTCAAACTGATGGCAGCAATTCCTTTTGTTAAAAACTAAACCCATCATTACTAACATGTAGAAGTTTAACACTCGGTGTGTATAAGAACATATATTTACAGGTGATGTTAGGTATATGAAGATAAGCAGTGTTGTTTTGGCTCTGCATCTGCTTTGTTCATTTGCTTATGAGGTTACTTCTGCTGACTGTGAACAGAGTCATCTGCAGAGTATCTTTGGCCAAGCTATGTTTTACAGGAACATTATCCATGTATCTTGAGTGGTAATTCTGAATATTTATGCCCTTTTGCACAGAGCCCTGTGAGATGGGACAGGAGTGATTCATCTCCAAAACTGTGTCTCTAAAACTGGCATCCATTAACCCTCTGTGAAAGTATTGTTTATGAACTTACGTTATGAGCCAGCAGCTCCAGCTCAGAACGTGGGTGGGTTGTAGCCAGGATCTCCACAGACCAAACTCCACAGACAGCAGCGGCACTGTGTGCAAAACAGAAGCTGGAACTGATATTTTGCCAGGTGTATCTAACCATAGGAGTATCATCTCAGCTTGGAAGCTTCTGGGTTTTGTGCACACTGTGATTGGTGTAGCTGTTTCAAAGATTTTCTGCCTTCTCCCAGGATAGATGGTATGGACTTGGTGAAGAAAGAGTACCTGATTATTTCCTTGTGCTTTTGTGACTCCCACTTGCCAAAATAGGGACTCTTAGGACCATATACAGCTGATGTAATTCATCATGGTCTGTAGGAATTTCTGATTAATTCTACAGGATCTACCTTGCTCATGGACAAAACAGGGCAAAGAGCACAAATTATTTTTAAAACTTCCTTGAAGCTGCAGTGTTTGATATTTGGTCCTAACTGTGAACTGGGCTCATGATATTTTTCTTTAAAATTCTGGCAGATATAAGCCCTGATTAATTTTAAACCCTGTTAAGCTCCTGCAAATCTTTTGGAAATAGATGGCCAGGTAAAGGAGAGAAACCCAAAGGAACACATACCCACATACCCCCCTGATCAAAACTTCATAGTATGAGTTTATCTATTTTATCAGAAACAAGTGTCTTTCTGACAGACAGTGTCACAGAAAAGCAGGCTCAACAAATGTTTATTAAAACAGATCTTTGCCCAGTCTCCTAAATTTTGATGTTTTCTTGTCACTTGGTTCTATTTTAGGTCTGCATTAAGCAACAAACCTTTTAAGAGGAATTGGAGTTTTAAAGTCAGTTCTCTCTCTTGTGCTTTCTCTCACTGTATCCATCTCTCTGTCTCAGGCAAGAGACTGGGAGAAGGGCTGTCTTAGGTAAAGACTGATACTGCCATTTGGAACGTCCTGCTGCTACTGTTGTTTTATAATGATACCATTTTCATATCTTCCATTTTATTCCTTTCCCCCAGGCAATGATATATAATAAGATCCTGAGGCTTTCCACATCCAACTTGTCCATGGGAGAGATGACGCTGGGACAAATCAATAACTTGGTTGCCATAGAAACAAATCAATTAATGTGGTTCTTGTTCCTGTGCCCCAATCTGTGGGCAATGCCTGTTCAGGTAGAGCATCAAAGTAAGGGCCTGATTTCAGAGATCCTCCAACCTGGTTGAAAAGAGTGTATGTCTGTTAGACTACTACAAAATCCAGAGGGGAACCTGGACTTCACACGCATTTGCCAGGAGGACTAAGAAGCAGAAACGTGGCCCATCATCTCCTCCAAGGGCTGGAAAGCTGTCTCTCCGAGGGCCAGTAAAGAGAGGATTTTTTTGAGCAGGATTTCCATGTCATGGATATGGTCTGTGACTTTAGGAATGATGACCTGTCATCCTTTGCCTGCTCATATTTCTTCCACTACTGACACAAGTCATTGCTTTTATTTCAGCAGCACAGGCATCTGACCAGCGCCGAGTATTGCATTTGCAGTGCCCACTTGTAACTGCTTTTTGTGTCAGGAGCAAAAAGCAATTGAATCCTGCTCAGTGACTGACAGCAGCACTGACAGTGCGCTGCACGAAATGCTCAGAGGAGCTTTCATCTAAACAAGCTTAGTTACTCTGAACATCTGGTTCTTAACAAGGCTGGGAAAGATCTGTAGGCAAATCTGCCGGAAGGAAAGGTAAAAATTATTAGCCTGAAAGAAATCTTCAAAAGTGCTAAACGACTTAATGACCTAAGCCACGCTGATTTTCCATGAAGCTTTGACTCCTGTAGCACCTTCAGAATTTTAGCTTGGGGTGGGATTGGTGTGGTCCTTACCTACAGGTGATCCTGCTGACATTAAACAAGCTTAAAAAGGAATAGAAGCCACTCTTACAGTAGATCTGTTTCGCTGAAATTCCTGGAACTATATCAGGAATCTGTTATAATAGTCAGCAATATTACTACTGCTAATGGAAACAAATACTGGATTTATGTGTCTATTTTAGGATCAGGTAGGGTTTAGAGAGTCATAAAATAATTTATGGAGAAAAGGACAAAAAAGTTTGCATGGTAACTGGAGTTAGAAATAGTACAGAGTGTTTCATTTTAAGCATTTTAAGTCATTGTTTCGTATCCAGGTTTATTTGGAAATGTTGCTGTTGATACTTTGAATGTTATTAATGAACAGGTGGTCTTATTCTGTGGCTAGTGAATAATTATATGTAGCCTAAATTCACCACTCATTTGTCTCTTTAATAAAGTCTCTGTCTCAGCCACTGTAGAAATATAATGGCCTTCCTCACCATTATTGTAAAAAGCTGGTTTGAGGAAGCTTCTGATGATTTTGCTGGTTTCTGTAGTTCACCTTCAGGCAATCAGGAGACAGGGAATACAGGGGTAGCTTGACCATAGCTTTGTCTGGGAATGAGCATAGCATCACCCATGAATTTGCCCCTGCTGAAGAACTTGATGAGTGAGCACCTGTGTCCTAGGCTATAGAGGGCTCCTTCTGCTCTTTAGCTCATCGCGATTACTTTACACCTCTGCTCCAACAATAAAATTGAAAGGAGAATACTTACTATTTCCTTCTCAAAGTATTATGCAGCAGATATCAATGACGCTGGTGTTGTGGTAATATGTGTTTCTGCCTGATTAGCTCAATAGGCTGCTTTTTGGAAAAAAAGAGGGAAGAAACTAACCTTTGGTAACTATGAGCTGGATTATAACTATACCACTCTGGAAAAGGTGGTGGGACTGTCCTGTCTTGCCTTATGCAAATGACTTGAGCTTCAAGGGATGTCCCAAGAAATAGCAATTGTCAAGGCTGCCCCCTCCTCAAGCAGAACAGCTTGTAGCAAATACTGAACTTACATCTTTCCAGTGTGAGCCAATATAGCCATAGCCTGCTGAAGATTGTGGTGAATCTTAGAAAATATATTCTGTATCCACCAATTATGGCCTGTTATCAAGAAGAAAAACTCATTGCAGGATCAGGCCCTCAGTAAGGGTTTCAGTTTACCCCAAGTATAAATTTCTACCTGTAGCCTTGTATTACTCTGCTAAGAAAATGGCATGTAGGTATGCTTATTTACATTACAGAAGCCTGAAAAGCTAAATAATACTTTCAAAATGTTGGACTCCACTGATTCGTATTTCTGATACTGCAGAATAAGAAGGCAGATCTAAAGACAGAATTGACGTATTGGAGACCAAAATACAAAGTAGGGAACTAGTTCTCTATGTCCTGTTACTGAGGACATCTCTGTACCATAAAGTGGAGCGTTTTATAAAAATACTTGTGTTCTAGAGCTTGTATTAACATGGGAACTAGAATCACAGTAGTTGTGTCGGAGCCATTCCCAGGTAAACCTTTGTGGGAAGTGTTCCCAGACTCTTTGTAGCGCTAAGGTAGTCTTGGTGCTTTTCTACAGAGCTACATGGTATTGATGTACATGCTTAGGTTTGTGTCAGTCCCAGCATATCTGCCTGCTTCACTGCCTGTCTTAGATATGCCTCTGTCTGCAGTTTCAAGAGGACCACTATGACAGAATGCAGTTGTGATTCATGACCATCCTAAGACCTCTGAATACTTCCAGAATGATGTAGGGAGCTCTAGTGTAAATAAGACTTGAGGCCAGTGATTCTGTAAAATGCCTTGGGGCAAGCACCGTCATTTTAGTGCTCCTTTAGTTCTGTGGAAACATAATCTGGAATTAGGACTACCAGGCACTAACACAAACTATGCAGTTAATGTCAAAAATAAAGGCTTCTGGGTTCATTTCCCACACTTTCCAAACATGACCTTCAAAGTACAGGCTCAGCTGATTCCTATGAACCATTTAACTGTTTATTAGAAGAACAATTTTTTTTTTCTTGCTATCATTCTGGCATATTGAAATCTACTTTTTTTTCTATGTTGCTTTTTTCTTCATAGATAATAATGGGTGTGATCCTACTCTATAACTTACTTGGAGTGAGCGCCTTAGTTGGTGCTGCTGTCATTGTACTATTAGCTCCGATACAGTACTTCATAGCTACGAAGTTGGCTGAGGCTCAGAAGAGCACTCTCGTAAGTAAATTATTTCAGTGACATTTGTGATCCAGAAATGAGGACAGGGAGCCAGGGGTTCTTGGTGTCAGTGAATATTCATTGCAGAGGTTTGGGCAAGCTATCCCTTAATTCCATCATCCCTCCCTTTTTGTTTTTCTGTGGCTCAGTATCTCTTCCTTCCTAATACTTGTCAGACAAGAATCTGAAAGAAGTATGTGGGCCTTGACCTGCCTTCTCTGCAGAGAGTATTTTTCACACAACAGTTTCATCTGAATTCAATTCTATGAAAGGGTATTATTCCTGCATTCAGATATTGTATTTCATGGAATGCTAGCAAACAGTACAAATGACTGATAAATTATAGGAGGACATTATTAAAGAATGTGTACAGCCCCGCTCTGAAATGGCTAGAGACTTTATGCTCTCACCGCAAGCTTTGGTATTCCCTAAAAGTCAGCTGGAATTGCTGGATTAATATCTATTTTAAGTTCTTCAGTGCTGTAAGTTTATTTTGGTGTCTGATTTAGTTCACCAATTTTTTTCTGATACTTTGTCTAACTTTTAACTTTATTCTCGTGATCCTTGAAGTTTTTAAATCAGCCTTTGATGTTTGTCTTCAAATAGTTAAAGATCCTTGTTATCTTAGTGTTCAGTAAGCAAATTATACGTACGTGGATCTAATCTTCAGCACACTTCAATCCTGTTGAGTTGTGCCCATTTATATCAACAGAGGATTTATGTTTGCATAATTTTGGTAATAGTCTGAATCTTTATTTTTGCTCTTTCCTGAGTTCTTTTGACTCATAACATCTTTTGGATTATGATTTTACCAAAACTTATGATTACTGTTTTCTGGTGAGGGGCAATTAGCTAAATATATCAATAAACATATCACCTATTTTCGTGGCCATTATGTATGAATCCCTGAATGAATCTTGTATCAGCAATTACATACATATAGTCATCTGTCTGTTGTTACAGACACCATTGACCTAGTAATCCACCTCCCTGAGTTTCACCTTCTGTTTGAGGGATTTGGATGGTTTGTTTTATTTTTCTTCTCAGAGCAGGGTCACTTAACTTCCCCTCATGATTGTAAGCACTCTAATATCTCCAAAAACCACAAAATTGTATATTGTTTTACTCAGTATGACAACTGAAAACCTGTACAAAATCCCAAACAAACGAAATTATAAATCTTTAATGAATTTTACAACAGAATTGAATGGAAAAGAACATTTTTATTAAACCTACAAACCATTATCAATTTCTTATCCTTGTTTTCTTTTGAAATGAAGGACTATTCTACTGAGAGATTAAAGAAAACGAATGAGATACTAAAAGGCATTAAGTTATTAAAGCTGTATGCCTGGGAGCACATATTTTGTACTAGTGTGGAAGAAACGAGAATGAAGGAACTCACCAGTCTCAAAACCTTTGCACTTCATACATCTCTTTCCAGTAAGTAACTATGTTTTTAGCTCTTGGAAATGGATCCTATTCATGTCAGCATTCCTCCTGACTTCAGCTAAAGCAAGATACAGCTGTGCCTATGACACTTGTGTGTGTGTGTGTAATGTGATTAAAATAAAAAGGTATGACAAATATATAACACAGAAATTTGAAAATATAGAGCATGTCTTGTTGATTCTTTTTTTTTTAGTAAGTTTTCTGTCACCTTAATCATGACATTACAGTTATGAGTTGCTTTAGAGTAAGGGGGCTCCAGATAATATTAGCAGCTCCGATTACAGCAAAGATAAATTAGTGTCTGAAAGAAATTGTATTGCTGTAATGTAGAAGAGCTGAGAGGGTAATGTTTTAGTCGTGTTGCGTAATAATTATGCACATAAAACTTTTTATCCCAGTTCACTAAAGTATACAAATGAGATAATTCTTTGGCTTATTTGTTTGTGTGTTTAAGATCTCTCTCTGTCATGGAAGGAAATTTCTTCCTGCAGAGGAATTTTCCTTTGGGAGTTTTAATTACTTGAACTGGAAATAACTGTATTCTTTGAGTGCCATACAACTAATTGTAAAAGTGTTTTTTCTTATTTCATATGATCTGATGCCTATTTTATTTCTCTTTCACAGTTTTTATGAATGCGGCCATACCAATAGCGGCTGTTCTTGCAGTAAGATACATTTTTTCACTTTTCCTTATAAAAAGGGAGAGAAAAAGAGAGGGGGAGAAAGAATGAAAAGACACCATTGCTATTGTAGGACATATTCCTCATAGAAGCGGAAGATGAGTTAATGTGCCCCTGCTAACTGTAGGATAGGATGACACTGGAAGTGCCCATTCCCAGAGCTGGTATTTCACCAGCTGTGGTTTGGACTGGTAAAAACAAAAATAAATATAAATTTTTACTATAAGAAAGAATGAAAAAAATCATTGCAACTTGAAAGAAGACCCCTTTTTGAGAAGCTCTCATTTTGAAGGGTTTTTGGGTGGCTTTGCTTTTCTATTGTCTAGCAGCCAAAATCATCCCTGTTTCAAAATACATTGTAAGCCACCATTTCAGTTTTCAAGAAAGGGTACTGTGCAGTTCAAGTAGAAATAAATTTTGCTTGTCCTCTGGCCAGGTTTAAATCTCAGCTTAACGCACTAGAGGAACTATGGCATGCCAGTCAGTAAGGAGACTTCATAGACCAAATTATGAGGGCATTACTCAGAGTATGCTGACATTGTGTACCAGAATTGGATGAAATATGACCATAGTTCTGCATCTGTGAAAAAAACCCATAAGATTTATTAGATTCTTACTGATTTTTCTGGGTTGTGTGTTTCCTCTAAACCCTGGGGTCAATTACAAAACTTTACAAAACTAAATACATTGATTTTACAAAGAAGATTTTTTCATTCTTAAGTGTGTAAATCTCTTGAAATCATTGGCAAGTTTTTAAAATCTTTTTCACTTTAATAGAAGACACCTTTCTCTTCAGTTTACTGGGATTTCCAATAAATTGAGGTATATAGTTATTGCCCTTAATTGAGCAAAATATTTTGCTTGCTGTCTTTGTCTATCTTTTTCAAGAGTGTTTATCCTGATGTGCTCTTTTTCTGATATGACAGACCTTTGTGACTTACGCGTATACCAACGACAAGCCACTGCAGCCCGCCCAGGCCTTTGCATCACTGTCATTGTTTCACATCCTGGTCACGCCACTGTTCCTGCTCTCCACTGTGGTTCGTTTTGCAGTCAAGGCTATCATAAGGTAAGCAGCCCTTCTAGTTTCTCCAACTCTTGAACATCTATGTTCAGTAATACAACAGGGAAGGTGCTGGAGAAAAAGTTTGTTTCTACCTATTCATGTGGAAGAGGATTTACAGGTGGGACTCCGATGTTCAAAAATGTAAGAGAAATCAGAGTAACCATTTCTCTTTACTGCATGATACAGAGAGAAAGAAATGTTTCATTCTTTTTATAATTTCACCAAGTTTGGCAGTCCAGATTCAGAGTTGCTGGCTGGGGCTAAACCACGACACCACCCACCATCGCTCTCACCTAGTACTCTTCTGGGCTCTTGTCAACACAGGGGGAGATGAGAGAAGTGGTGTGTGAAGCTATCTAGCAAGACTCACCCTGCTGATGTAAGGAAGAACAACTGGTTGAACTCTACCTCCACAAAGGGTGCATTGTGCTTGAAGTGAGAATTAAGTATTGTCCTCCCTCTCATTGTCTAACATTAGTATGGACTTTTTTAGGAAAGGGTGTGGATGGAGGAACATTGGACACTGAAGCACTGGTTGCTCAAGGGAAACTGAGACGTACAGGACTTCCCTTATAGAGGAAATGCTGTTCCCCTGAATGGCAGTAAAGAGACGCAGGAGAGGAAGCATGGCAAGGCAGACATGTGGGAGTTTAGTCTGTGAGGGTTAGGGATCTGTGTGGCAGGACAGCGAGGAAGTTGGCATGAAGTGGAAAAGATTTAAAAAAATAAAAGGAAAAGGAACTCATAAAATGTGTTGCTTCATTGGAAACTTATATCTTCCAGGCATTTATTTCTGCAAATAGCCCGACAAAACAACTTCCTTCGTTCTGGGCTATAGAACACTTAATCTCAAGGGAGCTGGTTGGTAGTAAGTCAAATTTCAGACTTTTTTGGCTGTTGCGTCAGTGGTCTGTATGGGAAGAGTCATGGTCATGGGACACTTGCATAGACATACACACTGCCAAGATGTCCCAAGAGGCACAAACTGACACCTGACTGGCAATAATGTGTCAGATGCCAAGCACTAGCAGGATGTGAAGATTGAACTAACCTTCCCACCCAGAAACACAGTTCCTTCTTGCCAAGACTGAGGCCCATTGGCAAGGTATTGCATTGCCGCTGCCACTATCTCTTTTTGGTGGGTAACGATAATAACAAATAGCAGTCAAGGGGACTTCGGTCTCCACAGCTGCCATTTGTCAGTACCACACTCCCTTTAAAAAAAAAAAAAATATTAAATAGGGTTTATTTTTATCGAAGCAGCAGCAGGGCCACATGAGAGATTTTCCCT